TGGGTGGGGGCAGACACGGGGGAGGCATGGGGAAGGACAGCGGAGCGGTGGGGACAGAGGCAGAAAGAGAGAGAGAGGGGGTGACAGACACAGGACAGATGGAGAAGTGGGGGCCATGAGAGAGAATCGGGTGCAGGGACGCAGTAGGAGGCAGGGCAGGAGAGAGAGGACAGGTGAAGGGACGGAAGGGGTGAGGTGGAGGCGGAGAGGAGGGGGGGCAGTGAGAGAAGTGGAAGGGACAGCAGGTGACGGGAACAGGGCGTAGGAAACAGTGAAGGAGTCGGAGAGATGCGAGGGGCGGGCCCCAGGTAAGAAAACAGAGAAAGACAGGTGCGAGTGAAAAGGGAAGGGAGAGGGAGAGGTTCCAGGGCAGGAGCGTCGGAGAGACGTACCCAGAGACGGCAGCGGCCAAGTGCGGGAAACCACGCAGGAGAGGTGGGAATAAAGGCAGACGAGTTGGAAGTAGAGACAGGAAAGCAGTTTAGAGATGGAGGTACAGAGGAAAAAGGAGAGAGACCCAGCAGAGATGAGAGAGGAAGCACAGGGAGGGGCAGAGGGGGAGACAGAGGGGCAGAGAGGTTAAAGGCCTGGAGCAGCAGCAGAAATTAAACAAAGGGAAGCCCCAGCCCCCAGCCCGGCCCCACTCCTGCCAAGTCTGCTACAAATATTCCCAGAGTGTCTGGGGGCGGAGGTGTGAGAGTCGGGTTGGCCTTGGCCCTGGTGCAGCCCACCGGAAGGCTCGGTCCCCGGTCCCCACCTTGTCCTGTCCTTGGAGGCTCAGCAACACTGATGGAGCCTCTTCTCTGGGTCCTGTGCTGTACTGAGCCACAGACAGGGTCCTAACTCCAGAAGCCAAGGCCATTCTCATCTCCAGATGGCTCTCAGGCCTAGGGAAGGGGAAGGTTTGCAGGGGGGAACTGGGGGCAGGGGGCAATGTCGAAGACTAGAGGGCGATTCTGTTCCCCAGAGGGAAGGACAGTTCCTCTGTCACAGCCATAGCAGGCCAGGCACATCCAATGAGACCCGCAGAAAAAGTTGCCGTGGTCGGGGAGGCCGAGCTGGGTCCCTCCACCTTAGGGGAGGGTCTGATGAGTCCGTGGTCTCCCCATACTGGGCCCACCCACTGCAGCCTGGGCTGCTCCTGCCTGGGTCCTCGGGAAGCCTGGACGCCAACCCTGCTCTCTGAGGCCCTTGTCCAGGTATCACACCTCTCCCGTTTCCCGAGACGATGCCTGTGACACCCCATAAATATTCCTGCAGAAGTATTCTCCTCTGCCTGAAGGTGCCATGTCCCTGTCTGCAGCCTTCCCCAGAGTCCCTGGCTCTCCAGGGACCCTCCATTCTCCTGCCTCCTACTCAAGGGCTTCATCAGCAGTCGTCAACCCCTCAAATCCAGAGCCAGGCAGCTTAATTGAGATCTCAAATATGAAATTCCAGATGCTGAGAAGGTCTAGCAGGGAAGTCCGTGTGGAGGAGCGGGGCCGACAGGCAGATATTGATATCCCGTCAGCGGGCAGCCTGGGAGCTCTGCCTCCCTCCTCGCGCTTCCAGCTGCTCTGCTGGGGAAGCCACGTGGAGGGACCTTTGTCCCCTGCTTCACCCGGACCCCATAGCTACAGTGTTTGGGGCTGAAGAGGCAGGCAGAGGAGGTAGGGATGGCCGGATCCAGCAAGTGCCTACAGGCGAGCCCCTTAGGTCTACCTTTCCACTGTGCATCTCGGCAATCCTGTGAGAGGGGATCGTGCTCTCATGTCAGGGGAGTGGAATAGCGGAGACTCAGAGAGGCTAAGTGACTTGCCCAAGGTCACACAGCTGGGCTGCTAGGATGGGGTAGTTGGGACTTTTAGCACTGGCTTCTAAGCCCATAGCCCAGGCTTGTTCCTCACCAAGTGACAAACACAGGGCATTTTTCTCAATTCTGAAAAGCTGCCCTGGCCTGGGGCCTGTCAGCCACTCCTCCCCCGGAATAGCTCTCAGAGACCCCTGTGCCTCATACTCCTCCACCAGCAGGGTGTCTGGTCTGGGGGACCATCACTGGGCAGAGCCCCAGGACCCCTCTGTGGCCAGTGCTACTGGTCCACTTCCTTCCCCTCGGTAGCACCCAGAACAGTGACAATAGTAAGAGCAAACAGCAAGGGGCAGCTGTGTGCCAGGCTGTGTTGGGGGCCCTGTGCCTGCCACCTCACTTAGTCCTGCAGCAGCTTTCTTTTTTTTTTTTTTTAAATATCTCTTTATTGATTTCAGAGAGAGGAAAGGAGAGGGAGAGAGAGAGACAGAAACATCAATGATAAGAGAGTCATTGATCGAGCCCACAACCCAGGCATGTGCCCTGACCAGGAATCGAACCCCGATCGCCTGGATCCCAGGTCGACACTCAACGGCTGAGGCACGCCCGGCCGGGCAGCAACTTTCTGAGTGACCTCTGGTATGCTCCTCCTCCTACAGATGGGGACACAGACTCCAGAGGTAGAAAGCAAACTAACTGGCAGAGCCCGGATTCAAGCCCAGGCAGGCGGCTCCTGTCCACGGTATCCCTGCAGTCTGCACGGCCCCCCGGGGCAGACCCATTTGGGGATTGGGGACAGGGGATGGGCTGGCTTGTTTACTGGACACCTGCTATGTGACAAGGGTTTCCACATTCCATACTGCATCTACTGGTCACAACAACCACAAGATACGGGAGGTGAACGAGGGGCCCAGAAATCATCCCAGTGTTTACACTGTCTCCTCCCAGGAAGCAGGACCTACTAATACTACTACTACTACTAAAGAGGAGTAGTTAACACTGAGGCCTCGCTTTATGCCAGGCACTGTTCTAAGGTCTTTCAGAGGATCAATACCCATTCAATCTTCCCAACAATTGTTGAGGAGGTTGTTACTGTTACTCTCATCTCCACTTTATGGATAAAGAACCTGAGACAGAAAGACTAAGCCGTCTGCTCCGTGGTGCCCAGAGCCTGTGCTCCTGACCCCTGTGCCACACAGTCTGCCCTGTCTTCCTGCCCTCCACAGGTGACTTTGCCTGAGACCTTGCTTGACCTCTCTCCCCCCCTTGTTTCCCCAGTAAGGGAAACAGATGGTGGTGTAAGAGGGTGAACCTGATCCTTGGCCCCAGGGGTGAAGAGCCAGGCTTGGAAAATCCTTGCACAAGAATTGGCCTCAGAGGAAAGCAGCTTCTGGTGTGTGTGTGTGTGTGTGTGTGTGTGTGTGTACACATGTGTGAGTGTGTCTGTGAGTGTGTGTCTGTGTGTTTGAGTGTCTGTGTGTACTTACAGGAGAGGGGCAGCCAGGTGCCTCAAAACAGCCTGTGGCAGTCAAGTTTGCCTTTACCAGTAACGTCACTAATCGGTGCTCAGCACGTGCTAGCCCTGTGCTTGGACGTTTCCCTGCTTCCATCTCCTGACATGCCCGAGGTTACCCTCATTCCCGTTGAGGGGAGGAGTAAGCTGAGCAGTTTTCCTCTCTGTGGGGCCCTGTGGAGCCCACACCAGCTCTGGACCCTCTGAATTCAGAGCCCACACTCTTAGAAGCAAGACTGCTCCCTGTTCCAGGCAGCAGAAAGGACAAACTGTGTGAGAAAGTCATGTGAAACGGACACTATTCAAACTCTAGGGACAGAACCTAACTCATCTCCTGCCCACGTGGCCCTGCCCCTCCCTCAGGATCCCCAGCTCTACCAACCACTGATCCTCCAGGCCAGTCTGGGAGCCTGGTTCCCACCTTCATTCCCACCCACCTCCCACCTCCGCACTCACACTTCTGCTCGGGCCTCGCCGTCTCTGGTCTGGATGAAGGCAGCAGCCTCCAGATGGGCTTCCCACCTCTGTTTGTGCTCAGCACCATCACCTCCAGAGAGCTGCATCTAAAGCAGAGCTCCGGCTGTGCCCCTCACCCACTAAGACCCTCTCCAAGGGCTGCCTCTGACCTCTAAGGCACAGCCAAGCTCCTGAACGGGGCTCCCAAGCCTGGCTCCCCATCGCTCTCGGCCTTCCACCCCCACGCCTGCTAACACTGTGCACATTCTTTAGGGAAACACTTTGGAATCTCTCAGGCTTTTCAGGGCAGAAGATACACTCACAGGGGGATAACCAGACCTTACTCACAAAATGACTCATTACAAAGGGACAGACGGGGATGGGGGACCACAGGGAATGTGCAATAACTCAGGGTTGGTAGCGGCCAAGCGGTGACCCTCTCTAGGCCTGAGCACCCCAGGGAGGTGACCAAACCCAGGCAGGAGGGAGAATTCTGCAGGCCCGCCTGA